AAAAAATTTTCATCGCCATTATCCATCAAGGAAATTAAAATCAAACCTCATTAAGGTACCACCTTACACCAGTTAGAATGGCAAAAATTGACAAAGCAAGAAACAACAAATGTTGGAGAGGATGCTGGTGGGAATATAAGGTGGTGCAGCCACCTTGGCAAACAGTGTGGAGATTCCTCAAAAATTAAAAATAGAGCTACCCTATGACCTGGCAATTGTACCACTGGGTATTTACCCCAAAGATACAGATGTAGAGAAAAGCAGGTCCATATGTACCCTAATGTTCATAGCAGCAATGTCCACAATAACCAAACTGTGGAAAGAGCTGAGATGCCCTTCAACAGATAAATGGATAAAGAAGATGTGGTCCATAAATACAATGGAATATTACTCAGCCATCAGAAAGGATGAATACCCAACTTCTGCATCAACATGGACGGGACTGGAAGGGATTATGCTGAGTGAAATTCAAGAAGAGACAGTCAGCTATCATATGGTTTCACTTACTTGTGGAATGTAAGGAATAACAGGGAGGACATTAGGAGAAGGTAAGGAAAAGTGAATTGGAGGAAACCGGAATGGGAGACGAATCATGAGAGACTGTGGACATTGTGGTGGGGGGATGCATGAGCCTGGTTGTGGGTCTTAAGCAGGGCACGTATTGCAGGGATCACTGGGTGTTATACTTAAACAATAAATCATGGAACACCACATCAAAAACTAATGATGTACTGAATGGTAACTAACATAACAAAAAGAAATAAATAAACAAAAACAAAACAAAACAAAAATAGAGAACAAACTGATGGTTACTAAAGGGGAGGTGGATGGAGGGATCAGTGAAATAGATGAAGGGGATTAAGAATATGCTTTTCTTGATGAGCATTGAGTAATACATAAAATTACTGAATCACTCTATTATACATCTGAAAGTAACATGCCACTATATGTTAAGTCAACTGGAATTAAAATTAAAAAAAAAAGAAATTACAAAGGGAGCATCACTACCAACCTTATGAAAACAGAAAGGATTATAAAGGAATCCTAAGAACTGTGTCAATAAATTAGATGACTAAGTTGAAATGGACACATTTCTGAATATACACAACTACCTAAACTGACTCAAGAAGAAACTGACAATATAAGTAGACCTATAACAAGAGACTGGGTTAGTGATCAAAAACCCCTCAGAAAAACCCAGATACAGATATCACCACTCCTGAATTCTACCAAACATTTAAAGAATAGCACTACTTTACAACTCCTCCAAACATAGAAAAATATAGAATACTATTTTAAGGAAAACATTCTATCTACAATAGCATCACAAAAGGAAACAGCCATAAAAGAAATACAAAGCTTATACTATAAATATTACAAGTCATAGTTAAGAGAAATGTTTAAAGACTGATAACAAATGAAAAGACATCTCATATTCAGTCTGTTATTTCCTCAAAATGTTAATCATGGAGTTACCATATGAATGAACCAATGAACCAGCAATTCCACTTCTAGGTATATACCCAAAAGAATCATAACATATGTAACATAAACTTGTACATAAATGTTTATAGCATTATTCATAGTAACCCCAAAGTGAGAAAAATCCAAGTTCCCATCAATTGAATGGCTAAACAAAACATGGCATAGCCACAGAATGGAACATTATTTGACAATAAAAAAGAATGAAGTATTGATTCATACTGTAATATAGATGAACCTTTAAAAGAGCTTGCTAGGGGCACCTGGGTGGCTCAGTTGGTTAAAGCCTCTGCCTTCGGCTCAGGTAATGATCCCAGGGCCCTGGGATGGAGCCCCCCATCGGGCTCTCTGCTCAGCAGGGAACCTGCTTCCTCCTCTCTCTCTGCCTGCCTCTCTGCCTACTTGTGATCTCTGTCTGTCAAATAAATAAATAAAATCTTAAAAAAATAAAAGAGCTTGCTAAATGAAAAATATCCAACATAAAAACCATATATTATATGATTCACCCATTAAATAAAATGTCCAGAATAGGAGTGTCTCTGGAGAGAAATTGATTAGTTCTTACCAGGGGCTCTTGCATAGTTCAGCATTTGCCCCCTTGCACAGTTTGTTAGCTCAGTAGTTCACAGTGTGTCAGAAGGCCTGTGCTCAGATCCTGGCTCCTCCCTCTATTAAGGAGGGACCTTGGGAAAGTTACTCACTGAGCCTCACAAAATGGGTTTCAATCATGTTAGGAAAAAAAGAAAGTAGTGCCTAAGTTGGTTTTTTTTTGTTTGTTTGTTTTGTTTTTTTGTTTTTTTTTAGTTGGGGCAAGTTCAATTTTATAAAATTTTTCCACAAAATTGCAAACAGATCTCAGAAGACTGTGTAAGGAATAAATGGAAATTACATGAAGCACCAAAAGGACTCAGTAAAGTGATCAGTATTACTATTATTTGATGTTAAATAAGTTACCTTAATAAATAAACAAATGACTATTTAAGTCTAAAAAATAGTTTCTGTCAATAAAATCTACAGTCAATACACTTTTCCCCAAATGTTTTGATTTGGTAGTTGACTTCTGAACTACCTATCATTTCTTATTCCCCTTGTCAAATATTTTAAAAGAATTGTTAGTTTACAGCTTTATTGGCTAAAGGAATGCTCAGCTTTTATGTTGTCCCTTTCTGGCATTGAACTTTCTCATTCCTGCTGATTTGCTGTCTAAATACAAATAACACTTGAAAACAACTGAGAAGGCTCATTAGCTTTGGAAAAACTGAATATACACTTGAAACTTTGTTTCTTCTCAAAATAAGAGACTTTTTTTCTCCCTTCTACTTGAGGCTCCCCTCTTTTGATTTGGAGGCAATTAATTCAGACTAAAGCCAGTGATCCTGTCGTTAGGGCACCTTTAATTTCAAAGCAGACCAAAGAGCCAGCCCCAGCTTTCCAGAGTCACCGCTGAACACACTCAGAGCATATTTCCAGTATTACACAGGTAAGTGATTTTCTAGAGTATATACTCCTTTGACATTAATAAAGCAATTCCTTCCCCAATATATTCAAAGCCCACGAAGGCTATTTCAAATATTCAAATTAAAATTCATCTTTATTTCTAGGCATTTTTAAGTAGAAAATATCTCACTGATACTACCAATTCAAATACGAGATTATAGTCCTTGTTAGAATGCATTGCTTTTACATCTAGATCTGCTTTGCCTCCTGCTAAAAATTCCAACTTTCACTGACATCAACATAATTATAAATTTGCTTTAAACCACAATGCACAAACAGTCCCAAAATAATAATATGATTACTGGAAATAGTTTAAGGTTTTATGACAGACTTACATGCTGTGGAGTCAAATTATGGTTTCTGAGATCACTTGGAAAATTTCCTCTGTGTGGGGGCTATGCCAATCACTCATTAAAAAGATAAAGTTCATTTGCATCATTTTTCTGTCACTATCAGGAATCCGTAAAGTCAGTTTCATTTATAATTATGTATTTAAATTATTCAGTTAAATTTATAAAACAAAATATAAAAACCAAGTATACTTACAATTCCAGCTTACATTCCTTTCCCCACACGTTCTCCCCCATTCCTGCCTCTATGTAAACTTTAATTATATAAATCCTTCTTTAATGAATATTAGCATACTATAGGTACTTTTCAGCATTTGGAGTACATAAAGAGATTTTTTAAATCACTTTTTATATCAGCATGTTACTATCTTGTTTGGATGCACTTGAAACGAATCAACTAACCTTCAGTTGATGAGACATTTTTATTGGGAACATTTTTATTGGTAATCCTTTTTCTTGCATTTATAAGTAATACTACAATAAATAGCCTTATGCATATATGTCTTTTTGTATGTTTGTCCATATGTCTTTAAGATAAATTCCTAACAAGAGATTCCTCAAGAGATTGCTGGACTGAGTGATAAATGTCTAATTTTTCTAGATACTGACAAATTCCACCCCAACTTTTTGCATTTCTACAAGCTATGCATGAGACTCATTTCCCCTACAGCCTTGTCAAAAGAGTACTGTGTTAATATTTCAATTTTTGCTTATCTGTATTTCTCTTATTAGGAGTAGGGTTAAGTAACTTTACCCATATTTAAGGGATATTTGCATTGTTTTCTTTGAGAGCTATGTATTCATTTACTAGCCTTACTTTTTAATATATAGTTTGGGAATTTCTTTCTTCTTAGAAGAACTTCAGGCACTGGCTTATTAACCTTCTGTAGTGTAGGTGGCTAATAATTTTCCCAGTTTATCATTTATTTTTTTGCTTTGTGTATACTTTTTTTTTTTTTTTTGTCATGCGAAAGTATGTGTGTGAAATGGAGCTTATTTTTTCCCCTGGATTTTAAGTAGATTTTAGAAAAACTTTCCTACAACCCAGTTGTATGAAATTCACCCACATATTTTATTCTTTTTATATGACCCATTTGGAAATCACTTTGGAATATACGCTCAAGAAATTCCTAAAAGTTTACCAAGCGTGAGCCAGTATAAGCTGGCTTCAGAACCCCACTCACGGCAGATGGAGGGTGGAGAGCCGCGGTTGTTTCTTTGTGTCGTTTCCATTCGTATGTTCTTAGGTATAATAGTTGCCTTTTATCAAGTCACTAAGGTTCATGGTGCCTCTGATTTTCCAAATTAAAAACCTCTTTGAACGTTGAGAAAATGGGTCATTATTCTTGAGGAATAGCGCATTATAGCTCTGGCGGGGGGGGAGAGAATGTCTAACTATCTGGTTAGAAAAAAATCAGCTATTTCTCTAGCTGAGCTTTCTTGAGTATAAAACATCCATTATTCAGCTGCATAATCCCGCCCCTCCTTTCGGACACCCCCAACAGAACACGGAGCTATCCTTGCGGGGAGACCAGGGTGACACATGAAACGGCCACGGGTTTAGCCGATGGGCACTTACTCATCCCACTAAGTTCATATTTTCCTCTCGGATTTAGAGAATCTGCTATCCCCAAATGGACATTAAAAGCACGGTAAATAGTAAAGACTCACCACTACTGGACGCGTCATTGAGATTGAGCAGGCCCCCGCCGAGCCCTCGGTAGCTATGGTAACTGTAGGTTCCGTTTCCGTTGATGTACAGCACCTCCTGGGAGCCGGACACTGCCGAGGAGGAGTACGTGGCCTGGGCCGCCTCTGGCTTACACTGCTTGTCGGCCGCCGCGGATTCGTCCTGCAACGACATCAGCATTTACGTGACGTCTTACGTCACAGCGCTAGTCCACCTGGACCAGGGCGCTCTCAGCGTTATCTACAAGTCTGCACCAACAGGAAAGAAACATCTATGGTCAACATTATTAAGTCAGCACATAGGCACATTTTCCACAATTTGGCTAAACAAACAAAGGAAAGCAAAGTAACAATGAGAGACAGACTGGAGGTGGAACAATTTGCACTTTCCAACTGAATTGAAAATGACATGGAGAGAGCTGGTGGGGAGAGCAACCTAGATGTCCACAGACAGATGAACAAAGAAAGAAAATACGGTATAGAACGACAGCGAAATATTATTCAGCCGTAACAGAAGAAAGAAATCCTGACATTCTTTTTTTTCTTTTCCCCAAAAGTTTTATTTATTTATTTGACACAGAGAGAAAGAGAAATCACAAACAGGCCGAGAGAGATGGGGAGGCAGGTTCCCTGCTAAGCGGAGAGCCCGATGTGGGGCTTGATCCCAGGACCCCGAGATCATGACCTGAGCCAAAGGCAAAGGCTTAACCCACTGAGCCACCCAGGTGCCCCAAATCTTGACATTCTACAGCGTGGATGAACCTTGAGGACATAATGCTAAGCAAAATGAGTCTGTCACAAAAAAAGACAAATTTTGCACGATTGTACTGAAGCAGTCAAACACACAGAACAGAAAGTTGGAGGGTGGTGGCAAGGGGCCGGGGGAGGGTGCAGTGGGAGCCAGGGAATCATTCAATGGGTATAGTTTCAGTCTTGCAGGAATGGCGGAGGGTGGGGGGGAGGTGGTGCTTCTGGGGAGTCTGTGCACAGCAACATGCATATGGTTGACAATATTGTACTGTACACTTGGAAATCATTGGGAGGGTGAATTTTATGTTAAAAAATAGAAAAAAACCTAGCTGGGCTTAAAAAACACATGAAGAGAAATCACAATTTGTAGAAAAACCTTTGCAAAGCTGACTTTCTTAAAATCTTTTTTTTTTTTTCAGCCTGTGCCTGCCTGCCCTCCACCCCTGCTCCCCTTCCGTCCCTCCCTCTTTATTTCGTGATTGTAGCAAAACTGATTGTAGCAAAACTGATTGCATGCTGACTCCACACTAGACCCATTTCATACATTATAACAGCCTAAAAAAAACTGAATAAACCAGAGCCTTTCCACTTGTTTTTCCTTTCTTAAGCTACACTGGTGTCTGCAAACTGTGAATCAAAACTTCTTACCATATCAAGCCGTAAAAGACAATGAAATTAAAATCTGTAATAAATTGTATGTATTTTCACTAGTAAAACAGGTTGACTTGCTCTTCAGCTGTGAGTTTATAAAGTCTAAAATATATACAGTATATATGACTTTACTTGCCCACTGCATTCTTCATATTTTCTTTTTTTTTTTTAAATAAGAATTATAAACAGATCCCTAGTGAATGCCTAGGAGTGTTTTTGTCATAATCAGAAGTCTTTCACAACTTTTAAATTTAGAGTACATGTTTAGAAAAATAGAGTAACTTTCAAATACATTTTTTAAAGATTTTATTTATTTATTTGAGAGAATGAGTGAGAGAGAGCATGAGAGAGGAGAAGGTCAGAGGGAGAAGCAGACTCCCCAAGGAGCTGGGAGCCGGATGCGGGACTCCATCCTGGAAGTCCGGGATCATGACCTGAGCCGTAGGCAGTTGCTCAACCAACTGAGCCACCCAGGTGCCCCAAATACATTTTTAAAAGGCACCAAGTACTAGAAAAAGAGGACATATGGAATAAATAAAAATAAAATAAATAAATAAAAAATAAAAATAAAAAAGCATCACCACAACTATCAGAATTATGAAATTATGATTTTGTTCTCATTTTTTTGATCTTTTCATCTCTGATTTATTTAACTCTGACCATTACACTTAGACACATTTAGAGCATTTCAACCTTTCATTTCTAGGTAAGAAAAATTTCATAAATGGAAAAAAATACTCTGTGTAAACTGGACTAAAAATAAGAATTTGCCCAGCATTACCTTTAAAAACAAAAAACAAATGCAAATTGACTGAAATTGGTATATGAACTGGAATATCTGATTGTAATTCTCTCTTGCCATTTAAACCCTGGTAATCCCTGGGAGGGCGAATTACTTCAGAATAACACTTTCCTGGAGAAACTTCACTAAAGAAGAGACCAAGATAGGATCCAATTTTTTTTTTTTTTTTTTTTTTTTATCACTGCTCTATTTTTTAGACTAGGAAGTCAGAAAGTTCCAGGCTTTTTTTTTTTTTTTTTTTAATTAGAAAGTTACTCTTTGCTAGTTGAAAGTACCCAAAGACAGTGGGTTTTAGAATGGAGATATTGGACTTTCACCAAATTTAGCCCTCAAAGTAGGGACTTATGCTAGAAACATGCCAATAGAGGTAGGTTTTTTTTCCTGGTACTACGATATAATATTACAGATAGTAAGAGAGTTTATTTTTTTCAAAGATTTTATTTATTTACTTGAGAAAGAGAGTGAGCGAGCACGAGCTAGGGTGCAGGGGGAGGTGGGGAATAGAGGGAGAGAGAGAAGCAGACTCCCCACTGAGCAGGGAGCCTGAACTCTGGGATCATGACCTGAACTGAAGGCAAATGGTTAACTGACTAAGCCACCCAGGCACCTCAGATAGTATGAGCCTAAATAATCTAAGATATTGAAGAGGATATTTCCAGGAATCTTTTGTTACTGCAAGTATGTGCCATAATAAGTAGGTCTGAAGTAAATAATTATACTAATTATAGTGCTACTGTGAACAAGAATTGTTAATAAAGCAATATTAATGGTACAGGAACATAGCAACTATTACAATCTTAGAAACTGTAACCAACAGCCTTTTAAATGGCATGTTACAATGACGGAGTAAGTGGAAAATGGTCAAATCAATGATGACAGCACCTCATGCAGTGTCCAAAAGTCTTTTATAAAAGTGCAGTGAAATGGTCTCCCATCTAGGAGTGCCAATCTCCTCCCTTCCTGGAGACAGAGATTATCATTTATATATATATATACACATATATACATATACACATATATACACACATATACATATATGTACACACATACACATACATATATACTATATATACATATATGTGAATTACATACTATATTTATACACACACACACGCATACAATCCTCCATAGCAGAACAAAGACATGTCTTACATAATCATTCAATTTAAACTTATTAAATTAGGAAGGCTTATCAGAAAATTGATAGGTGAATCCATGATATTTACCATGGATTTTCTTTTATGTCAATGACTTCTATTTTCTCTAAAGAAATAGATTTCAAATTACATTCATGGAACTATAAGGCATCTAGGGGAAATGTCTTAGAGTCTTCCTGAGATTATGGGACAAGGACATATGGATACCCTGTCCTGCCACGTTCTACCTCTTTACGCAGACTAGTGGACCTTCTTTGCCTTAGTCTAATTCATAAAATCACCCCATCTAAAGTGCATTTTTATAATAAAACCACTGGGCTATGAAGTATTCTTTCTGTAAGGACATGTAGCCACTGAAACTCTGAAAGAAGGCAGAATATTCAATACTTCAAAGCAAATTTAAGGACCTTGGGAAGGGGCTGGCCTCAAACAATTCCACTGCGAGCATAACTTCTCAGATTCCTTGATTGAAAATAATTTAGGCAACAGGATAAAATGTGAATTTCTAGTTTGGCAAAATGGGTGGCTCTTCTGAACATCCCAGTCTATTTTTCTGTGTTTGGAAAATGAAAATAAGATACACTCACGGGAGAGGAGTTTCTTAATGATGAATAAAAAGAGAGAAGGCTTTATCTCCACAATACTTGCTTACTGATTCTTTGTATGCTAGAATTAATTGGTATTACTAAACATGCTATTTTTAAAATTTGCCTTAGTCTCTCATTATTAACTGTTATTCCAAGCCACAGTAACTGCATGGAACAGGCAGATAATTAATTTCATTAATAATCAAAACAGGCTTGTAGGGAGTCATTTGTGTTCAAACACAGATTTGCATTATTAAGTTCTTGGCAGTCCACTATATATTGAGAAAGAAAACATATGAAAGTCCCAATAAAATCTGGTCTGTAGTATTTTGGGGGCAAAACTTTAAGTTAATACACATTTTTCTTTTGAATGATCACTGTTATTGGTTTCGAAGAGGCATAGATTTTAATGATATAAAAAATAAATATTCCCTAGAGTCACATTTTATGTCTGTAAGCAACTTTTAATAATCATTATTTCCCAAACTTCTCAAGGCTGACAGCTTGCTCCCTGGGTTGCTATCAAGCTTATTTTTAAAAGAAGATAATATTCATAGGTTACAAGACTGTATAGCTAGGCAATGAAATAAATTTTACTCATCAACAATCATACAAAATCCTATCCTGGCTTTTATGAGACATAGTTCAAATTTTCTTTAAAAAATTCCATAAAAATAAGATCACATCGGCAATTTAATGACCACCAGCTGTGCACTAGATAATGCACTGTTGTTTTGATTCAGATTTCTTTGATTAAAAATATACAACAAATTAAAGAAATACAGTTACTTCTGTAGGTAGGCTCTGGCCTTATCAATAAATATAGCCTTGATGTATATAAATATGCATTTAATATTTAGCTTATAATATATACTACAGAATACTCTAGTAATATTTAGGCTTGTAATAGGCTGTGTGATTACTTATGGATGGAGGGCAAGATTAAGAATCATTTTAAAGAGTAGACATTATCACAGTCTTTGAGAAGACTGGTTTGTATACTCTTGTACCCTAACCTCAGAAACTGGACAGGGTTGAACTTGAATTTGCAGAACCTGATCTGGTACTTGGGCCATATACATTGAATTCCTAAGTGCAGATGCCTAAGGAATCCTTAACTCAAGAGCCTTAGACATTTTCTCTATAAAAATGAAATTTGATTGATTCCACTCAAATTTTTGACAATAGAGTTCAAAAAATTTTTTGCATGGAAAAT